TATTGTCAAGTTGATTAGTCGTGTTAACGACTCCATTCGGATACTTTCTGCTTCTAGGATATCCTTTTTTCGATCCAGAATTTCTAACGGGGCCGTTAGCGCATTCTCTCCAAAAATGTTTGTGTGCATAGATTGTACATCAAAACTGATCAGTAATTCTGTTTCTGCATTGTTATGCTTCGGATTCTCTGATAAAATTCATATTAGGGCTTCACTCTGTTTGACAATCTGTCGTTTACCTTCTTAAGTTTCAAGCATATGAACTTGGCTAATTTGTGTGTCGCTCCAAACTTGTGATTCCCCTTCTTTGTCTAACTTCGGTAACTCGTAGGCTGTTGGTGGTCGTGCATCCTTTTTTATTAGTGAATTTGTTGTTCATCCATTGATCTCTCCGTTACTGTGCCTATCTTTCAACATATCCCGTACAATTCTATTGATCTTCATGGTTGGTAGTACTGTTTTGCAGCATACATTCAATCTTCTCTCTATATTGTTTTCTGTTCATTACAACTGTCGCTCTTCTTTGTCCGTCTGAACGACCAATTGTTCACTCCTTTCCAGGTTTCTTCGTATCCTTGCAAATCTGTTCTTGTGAATTGGCTCATGTGTCAAGATTATAGGGATTATTTCCATCTCCATTTCCCGTTTTGTCTCCTGAGGGAACGTGTTGGAGGTAATGTTGACCTCAACCAGAATGTCCTCTAGGATATTTGTGCCATTTTAAAGAGAAAAGTAAAGTCCTTTCTTTAGGATCGTATAGGTTTCAGGATAAAGCGTAAGCGAGGATAAATTCCCCGGCTTGTTTCCTTCGTCGTACTGTTCAGCAGGTGCCCTCGTCTTGGAGACCTCTTCAAATGGGCGCACTGACTTTATTCTACGTTGCGATTTATTTTGGTGTTTTTTATTAAGCCCGAGATCCTACGTCATTTCTTGCCGGTCATACTCTGGAGTTTGTGAAAATCATCCGGAGTCAGAATCTTGACCAGATCATGCAGGAGCTTTGACTTAATATCTATAAACTTAAATTGCTTATTCCTTTCCATATCATAGGCTTCATGTAACTTATGTAAGGAAGCCTGGTGAAGAATCTCATTAACCCTATCTGAATGGAAAAGTCTCTTAAAGTCACAAAATTCAGGAGTGATACCATAACGTTTACAACAGTTTAAGAAGGATAAATGGCTTGACTTACTTACAATAGTCTTCTTTGTCTGGCTATATTCAGTGGATTGCCTGGCAATCTTACTACATCAGTTTAAGCGTAGATACTAAAGCCAAGATATTCTGTCCTCTATTTTGGTCACAGTCTCCCTTCCTTGTTTAGAATTTGTTTGACCTAGGTTTCACAGGAAGACCTAGAGTAACGCATGTTGTCGGGGGCCATAGGATGCATGATAAATTCCAGAGTTGAACCATGGACTTGGTACATTCCCAGACGTTCGCTGGCATCAGATTCGGCATCGTCAAGGAGCCCTGCCATTCGTAGCACCACACTACCACGGGCCCCTGAGGCAGATCCGGAAAGGAGACTATAGCAGAATCAGCCACTCGAAAGGGAGGAGAGCAAGGTGAAGAGCAGATGTGATGACGCCACGGTGAATTCGCCCAAAGGACACATCTCTTGTGGAATAAAAACATGACAGAAGTTGTGATAGGACATGGCCGAGGCTAGAGGGATTATGACAAAACGAGGAGGGATTGCATAACCATTTCGACAGAAAGTTGATCAAGGAATTGATTCAACTTGTCTCTTTGACGAGTTGTAGCTTGGTTGCTGAGACTGACAAGACTCTCTGACGATGCTGGCTAAACGTCTAGGAATGTACCAAATCCACGGTCCGACTGTGAAAATGATCATGCATACTCTGGACCCCGGACAAGGTGCGTTCTTCTAGGTCTTCCTGCCGATATGACCAATTTGCGAAAAAAAGGTCAAACAACTTCTATACAACCAAAGGAGACCCCGACCATACAAGACGCCACACCATCCTGGTCTTCATACCTTCGACTAAACAATTGAAATATATTTCACTAATAAGTGTCCAATAAACTTATGGAACTAAACATCAATTTCTTTCACTTTCACGGAGTTATCGCGTTTTCAGGGAGACTGGAGGACTTGAACAGTACTGCCATTTTGGTCTGCGTTCTTCCAGTTTCGGAGCTGCGTCTATCCATAATATTATCTAGTACACCTGCATGAGCATGGAAATATCGCAAATGAAACTGCCCGTTGCACTGCTGGAGAATAAAACTAATCAGTATGGAACTGAAGGATTGGCCTCAAACGCCAAAAATGAAAAGCCGTGTAAGATAATGAAGGCTAATGCAATAATTGCTATAAGATACATTTGCAGAGAAATAAATAAAGAGAAACCTATTTTGAAGATATAAAGACCAAGATGGCGTGGCTTCTGGTTTAGTCGCAGAAAGGCTGTTTAAGTTTATAGCAATTAGGAAGGAAGATTTGGGAGGCCATTGACATACTTGGGGAGAAAAATCTAATGCACAGGAGATTGGAGGAAGGTAGAGTTTGCGATAACTTTGCCTACTGCCTAAACAAACTCGAGGAGAACAAGAATAGAA